TTGATGGCTGCACCATGACTGACGTTCCATCAATCATCTCTTCGCCCTTCTCACGAAGGATCGACCGACCGACCGACCGACCAACCGACCAAGCAACCGTCTGCTATGTCCCAAGTATCTCTGGTTTCGTTTTCTGCCGCCGAGTCTTGCGTTCGTTTCTTATTCTCACAATCGTTTCTTTCCCTTTTCTTGTTCCTATTCCTTCCATATTCCTTTGCACCAACGATCTACCGATTGCTTCTTCGATTCAGCTGCCAATTAAAAATTTCACGGACCCTCCGTATCGTCGAGTTTCGATCGTGTCTTTGGTGTACAGAGAGCGGAAAGGAAGTCACACCGAGGCAACCCGACGACGACGCATTTCGTTTCGATCTGAACGCGAAGGAGGCCGGATCGGAACGGGGTAGAATACCAGGAGGGGGAAGTTCGGGAGTACGAGAAGTCTGCCATCCGCCGACTAATCCGTCCCCTTCGGCGTATGGTGAGTGGCCGGGACGTATCAATCGGAAGGTTGGTATAAGTTTCCGCCGCTGTGGTCCGCCGGTACCGAGGTTAGCTGTCGTGGTCAGTTTCGAATTGCGGCGATGTCAGTGACAGCTGTGCTCGAGGGCCGCGTATTGAACTCACGTCCAGTCACGCTCCTTTATACCTACTTACTTTGCCCCTTCCTTCTACTACTTTTCCTCTCTCTCTCTCTCTTTTCCTACCTCCCTCTCTCTGTCACTCCTTCGTCCTTCATTCTTTCTTCGTTCTATTCCTTCTTCTTTCGATCAAACTCTTACTAACCGTTTTTCGTCTACTTTGTTCGATCTGCGACACGATTTCAGCGAATCGCTCGAAATACTCGAATACTTTGCGTCGTAAGAGACAATCGAAAGCAATCGAAAGATCGTCCCGTGTATCTGACTGTAGGCTTCCTATCGTTTGACGTTACGCGAGAATACCTCCCACCGTCTCTTTCACCGCGAATAGAACGGAAAGAACGTTGCTCGGGGAATCGAGAGGGAATCCATTGCTCGTCTTCTTTAATTAAAGCTTCTACTTGGGCGAAAGGCTGTACCGCCGGTACTATTCCACTATTTCGAGGGGGAGGAGCAGCACCGGAGAATAAACTGGAAGGGGAAAGCAAGAACAAAAGGAAGAAGTAACGGCGAAGGGAGAGAGAGAGAGAGAGAGAAAGAGCGTGGTGCATGTCGGAGGGCTGTTTAACTTCCCAATTACTAGAAACACCGAGCCATCGAGGCGAGTATTAAACTGGCTACCATCCACGGGTTACTCGGGTATCTACTTGCCCTCGCGAATACTATCCCCCGATAACCCAACGTATCTCGTTCGGCTGGCACAGGGTGAGTCTGAGGGAGGCTGAGGGAAGACTGAGGGAGACAGAGGGGGGAAACGGCGGGAAACGGAGAGGAACAGAGGGAAAAGAGAGGAAAAGGAAGATGGGAGTTGGCTGTCGAGGATTTCGCGGATGCGTTCTCTTCGTCCCGTTCGTCTATAGGCACCGAACTTGGGCGTAACGACGGCTGGAAGAGAGCGAACGCAATATCGCGCCAGACTCGACGATGCTCCGGAGAACGAGACCGGCGGTCGTTACGACGAATAAAGGAGGGGGTTTGAGATGGGACGTTTCGGGACGTTCCAGGACGATCGTCCAGGGACGTTCCGACGCAACGAGCACGGCCTTATCTTCGCTATACTTTCCTCGGAGAAATTATCAACGGATACCAAGCCAGCCACCTTTCACGATTAATTCCGTTTCGACCATCTGGATCCTCGTGAAATACCCTGTCGCTCTGATCAAAGTATCGATTCGAATATCCCTCGGAGTATTGTCAATCGACAGAATTCAAACACGAGCAACTCTAAGCGACTGTTTCAGCTCATTTTCGAAAAATCTGAACAACGACGAAAAACGACGAATGGCGTCGCAGTACACGCCTGACAGAAATTACAAAGTTACCGCGTGCCGAGCGAGGAAAAGAGGGGGCGGCGAGGTGGCGTAGTCGTGTATAACGAAGCGGAGAGAAAAAGAGCGACAAACGGGGGTAGAGGAGGGGGAGAGAGGGAACCTAACCCAGACTCGACGATTTATAATCGGTGACGAATGAGCGCGATCGCAGGGAGCCCTCGTCTCTCCGGCGTTTTATAAATGTCGCGGAGCAATAAAGACGCTCGATGGATTAGCCGTGAGCCTGGGGCATTCCGAGGCAGCGGATTCTATTCTGGTGATTTGAAACCAGGCACGCGCGTCCAATGAATCAATCGAAGCCACGCTCTTTCCCCCCGTGTCTCGAAGCTTTGATCTCTCGGAGACGTTTAACGTCCACGAAGGACGGACATTTCCGAGGAGGCGCGTCGAGTACGTTTCGTGACTTTTCTCTGCCTCTCCATCCGTCGGCACCGCCGTTCCAGCCTCGACGTTTTCAGTTGCCAAGACTCGCGAGTAGTCCCGAGCAGTCCGCTACGACACACCGCGCAACGTTTCGCGTTATGTATCCCGCGAGAGATATCGACCTTATGCGATTCCCGGCCTCCACGCAAACTCGATTATTTTTTCTACAAAGGAATCGGTGATCGTGTTCGTCTGCGTCGCGACACGCCGATTCAACGTACCGGTTCCCGTCGACTTCAATTTTACGGCATCACCCCGGCTGCGCTCCAGCTACCCTCCGGTCCCTCGGCGAGCCTCGATCGTTCTTTTTCTTCGGCAACGCCGTGACACGAACACGCCGTATCCCCGTTGTTCCAAGAATTCACGTGCGCGTCATAAATAGTGCCCTGCTCGCACTCTGTCGCCTCTTCTCGCTCCTCTAACCCCTCCTCATCCCCTCTCAGTCCTCTCGCCAATCTCACCCCTCTCCGCTTCGATTTCTCGCACGATCCGACATTTTCCAATATTCCAAACTGCACCGATTCCATCTGGGGTCCCTTCGAAGCTTCTTCAACGACTCTCCCCCTCTCTTTCTGTGTCCCGTTTTTCCTCGTTCTTTCCGTATCCGTTCTTCCATTTTCTCTCTTCTCTCTGTCTGTCTCTGTATGTCTGTCGTTTCCAGCAACTGTTCGAATTCGACTGGACCGAGCAGCGAGCGAACGCAGTCGCGATCGAATGGTGAATCGATCGTGTATCCTGTATATCGGGCCGAACGAGGGATCCTTTCCAACCGGCTGTTGGAGCGGAATTGGCGCGAAATGTTTTACGAGCATGCGCGTCGGCCACGTTCGTCGTTACTCGTTCACGGCACGAGCTCGTCGCGCCTCGACCTTTACCCAACGGATCCCTTCGAGTCGTAGCTATCCCCCTTAACTCCGCTCGACTCTCCCGACCTCCCTCTGCAACTGCCGCCCCGCAAACCACCCCCGTCGCAGCCAACCCTGACCTGATTTATGGGATTCTCGGAGCGTCTACCCTGCCGACGCGCGCGTTTTCGAGGCCTCCCTTCTCCTACATTTTCTCCTCTGTCCGTTCGCGTAGACAGCTGGCTGGCGTTTCCCTGAACACGCGTAACCCAGACCAGACTTAACAGGCCGCCGCCGCTTTTCGACGTCTCGCCCTTTCGATCGGTTCGCGCGGTTCGAAACGGCCATCGAATGCCCTTTTCGCAAACAGGCAATACTTACTACGTCGAAATACGTCGAGCACGTTTCGAACACGATTCGAGCGTGGATCGAGCACATCGACTCCATCCACGTCTGTCGTTTGCCATTCCTCTGACCGCGCGCGGTAACGTTTCTCTTCGCACCCCTGTCGTCCGCTTCTCCTCCCTCCCCATTTTCCTTGTAGATACGACCGAGTAATATACGAGCCCTGCATCTGTTCCCCGAGTGACGCAACGTCCCGTCATAGATCACACTCAGGCTTTTAGAGAGCGAAAGCTGTTAAGGAGAGTGCAAAAGAGGGAGCAGAGAAACGGTAGACGGCAGAGAAAGAGCAACGTGACGATAAAGGCAACGGAAAGAGAAGTCGAGGTACAAACCTTGGTGAAAACGAGAGAGAAAGATCAGAACGACGAGCCATCGCCGTACCGTGCAATTCGCGAAAGAGACGCGTGGTAAAACGCAAGACCCATTGCCAATGGATGTTTTTTCCTCGAAGATCGGTACGACACTCGCGGAAAATTAACTGTATTTCGGCAACAGATTCTCCCCAACTGGGGAGCATACAGGTTAACGAGTTTTTTTTTCGACGTTCTTCTCGCGAAAGTTGGGGAATGTCCCGCGAAGCCGGGGGAAACGAGAAAGAGAAAGAAGAATCGTCGGGTTTCGACGCAGAACCACTCGGCGAAATATACGGGCGACAGTTTGTTTGCGCTTATGGTTGGCGTCTGAAAGGTGGGGGGGTTGGAATGAAAGGGGAGAGCGGGGCTCTGTCGCTTTATCGAAGCACCCTTATGCCTATTATACCCCCCTCAACCCCCGATGGTAGCGCTTTAACGCGATCATCCCCCTTGCCTCGCTGCGTCGCGTCGCTGTCGAGCCGAGCCGAGTCGTTTCGGTGTTCTCGGTCGCACAATATCCCCCGCACCCAACGAGGTTCACCGACGACGACCGAGGTCCAACGACGCCGGGTGACGCGGCGCGCGAATTAAAACGCCTCATAAATATCTGAAACAAAGGCGGCCGCTTTTGAGGGCGTACGGTGGAAAGATATACTGCCGGTTAGGGGGGTTGGTAACGGGCGAATAAGAGGGAGGCGAGAGGGGACTCGTCGAGGGAATACGCGGTCGCGGGTATTCGGGGGTACGCGAGCCGAACGCGTATGCCACCCTTAGGAAAAACGCTTTCGGTCCGGCTGAAAATCTTTCTGCGGGGTGTGGATCGTTTTGTTCCGAGGGTGTGTGGAATATTTCGCAATCGTTTTCCAGACACGGCGCGCGTCGCGGTCGCGGTCGGAACAGGACATATCTTTGACCATTTGCACTTTTTCTCTTTCAGGTAAGTAGTGGTCTCCGATCGTTTGAAAAGCGAGCGGCTCGCAGCCGCCGCACCGGACGGGAGACATGCGCAGCAAGCAGCAGCCAAGGCCTTCCTTTCGGTGGCCGCAGCAAAGCGGCGATAATCTTACCGGTAAATATCTGTCTCAAACGCAATCTATAGGTGTGCACGAGCCATGCACGCACACGCACGCACGGAGTTTTCGTTTGCATCTTGCCGGGCCATTCGCGTCACCCTTTGCTTTCGTCTTCGTTTCCTTCCCGTAGTGCTGTTGTCGTCATCGTCGTCGTCGCCGTCGTTGTAGTCGTAGTCACTCGTCAAGTGCTAATCGCGACACAAGCATCTCGGGCCCAAATGTCCGTGATGCTACTCGTTTTCGCGTCATTGCTTGCACGCATTACTCGGTCACTGTGGCGTTGTATAGACTGCAAAGTATCGGTCTTGCTATGTTTACGAGTAGATGAATGGTAAATTTCAACCACCGCTGTCCGCTTCTTTTTCATTGTTTTTCTTGCATCCTCTGCGTCAAATTTTATCTCTGTGTCTATTCCCACCTTACGTGTCCCGCTACGATCGAATTTCGTGAATTATGGTGAATTTTGAACGACCGACACGATGGAATCGTGGACGGGCAAGCACCTTGAACAACGCCGGAGAAACTGAAGAATATTGAGCGACGTTGGTCGCGAACGATGAACCGTTCAGGAAAGTAGAAGTCCGCGTGCGTGCGTCGGACGAACGTGGTCGTCGAGGGACGCGCGACCCACCACCCTTGTCCCCCGATAGCCCCTAGCAGAGGGTCGCGAAAGCCGGTCTCGGCGAGCAATCCGCGAGTGACGTGACACGCGAAATCCTGTATCCACGATCCGGCAGCCGTGGAATATCGGCGGACGTCTAAACGAACCGTTGTACCTTCTGCTTTGATTTCAAAGAGCGGATCCCTAACAGCGGAGGAATATTCATTTAAATATCTGTCGATACTCGAGTCCGACGCGAGGATTGCAGCGATGTCAGTGGCGAACTTATGTGCCCTCCGTGTGTTCTCCGTTCCCTCCTCCCCTTTTCCTTTCCCTCTCCCACAAACTCCCTCCATCTCTCTCTTTCTGTCTCTCCTTTCCCCTTTCCCCTTTTCCCTGTCCCCTTTCCATTACCGTTCTCTCCTACGGGAACACGCGTACTACCTGTCTACCTGAGAGCGTTATAGGTACCTGTACTCGACCACCGGTCGACGTCCGATCTCTGTCGCGGATACGTTCGACCCCTGGTCTCTTTGTTCTCGACGACCTCGCTGCTCTCTTCGGTTTCTTCGATCGTTTTTCCTCTTCGTTGCCACCGCAACTTTTCGTCTGGATGTACCCGTTTGCCTTTTCCTCCCGCTTGACGGCGACGGACGAGTGTGGCCGATGGTCTCGTAGCGATTGGTAAAACGACTGTTCGAAACGGACGGAGAGGGGTGAAAGAAAGGAAGGGGACAGGGAGGGGTTGCACTTTGCGCGGGTCGTTCGAGCGAAGCTTAATGCCGCCGTAAAACGTACTAACAGCCGCCTCTCGACACATCTTCGCCTTTCGCCGACTTCCGTCATACATTTTGGCTTTCGACATCGTTCGCCGGGACACGCGACGCAACCTTTACATGATCGGTTATTAATACACAGAAGCCTCTTCCTTGGCTCGATGCGTACGAGAAACGTCTTGTTTCGTCGAAAACAGAGAAAATGAATTCGACAAATGTCCGCGTATATGACAGTTGACCGCAAGGTCGTCGATGAACGATACTTGTGAGAAGTTGACAAGAACCCAGATAGACACAGAGAGAGGGGGGCAGAAGGACGGAGATTAAAGGGAGGTAGGAAGGAAGGAAGGAAGGAAGGAAGGAAGGAAGGAAGGAAGGAAGAACGGACGGACGGAACATTCTGCCTGGGGGTAACATTTCGCGTGCTCTTCCCCTTCCGTCGGTGCACCCCCTCCGTGTTTCCGCGCGTAGTCCTACTAGCAGCATTTTAATCCAGCGAACCGACGTCGCTCCGCCGCCCCGAATAATTAGGCTGAAATTCGTTGCGAGCGTAGGCAGGCGAATTGTCGCGAAACGCAACAAAAGAACGAGATATTAGCCGACTGCGGCAACGGCAGCGACTGCTGGCCGGACTGTACGGCAAACGGGACAGACGTGGAAAGGTACGACCGACTCCCGGGGAGCTGCTACGGGTGACATCGTCGACCGCAGTTGATTTCGTCCTTTCAGGCTTCTACCGAGGAGGATCACCAACGACCACGACCACCGTCACAATCGCGACCGCCGACCGCCTGAGCGACGACGCCGACACCGACGACATCGAGTAATTAGGCCAGGCGTTGGAGCAACTGGCTGGCCTTGCACTCTTTCGCGTTTTTCGATTCCTTCCGTCAACGCGTTCGTGATTTCACGTTTATCGATCGATTAATAATCTACTATTCTAGTCGACGCGTTTGCATACGCTACCGAGAGACGTTGATTAATAGGAAATTTATGCCTGCACGAGTATTTGTTCGCTTCTTTTTTTTTCTCCCCCCCGTTTTCAATTACCGGTCGTCGCGTCGGTGACTGTCGCGAATCAATTAATTTCGAGGCGAAAGGAATCACGCGAGAGGGGGGGGGGCGAAGACGAAGTCGGTCGTTGATCGTTGGTAGCGCGAAAGTTAGTCCACGGGCGGCATAGGACTGGCCGCGAGGTCGTTAAAAAGGGAATATGTATATAGTGGGTAACGCGCGTTGCAGAGCAAAGCGGGACGAAGCGACGCGAAGCTGTATGAAACACGGACGGATTGTGGTAGAATTGTGTGCGTGGGTTCGGTTGGCTCGAAGGAGCGAGAAACGGTGCTACGGTGCGCGCGAGTGTAAGGAGAGCGGAATGAATCGCTGCCACTCAAGGAGTAGTCGACGGACGTGCCGGACGGGCTGACAAGGCCGCGCTCATTCCTCTCTCGTAGCTCGCCGATGCTGCGCCATCCGAGAGCACGCTTCCAACCAACCGCGTCGATATAACTGTCCACTACCGATAACTACTACGAGTTACGGTTGCTAAGCGCGCCATCGTTGTCGCGATCGCAACGAGAGAAGAGAGCTTCCCTGTCTCTGTCGTGACACTCGCGACTTTTCGTCTTCGTCGTGTCCGCTTCTTTGCCCCACCCTTCACCCTTCTCTCTCTTTCTCTCCCACCCCTCCCTCTTTGTCTGTTCCTCTCTCTTGGATCAGCTGTGCCCGTTCGCTCGCGACCACGATGTACATTCGGTCGTCCATCCATCTACGTGTCTCTCATACGTAACGCGTATCCCACACTCTCTCGGACTCGGCTTAATTATAATACGGAGATATTTATTACCGCGCGTATCGTCTATTTCCGTCGACCGGCCGTAGGAAGACCGACGAACCGCCAGGCAAGCGATATCGCGAAAGCGAACCAAACTAGCTCCGTCCTCGACCGAGAGTGGATCGACGGGCCGACAAACCGATGATCGAGTTCGTCTCGACGGACGAACGCGTTTAAATTCGTTCACGCCGAGGGTTACGGAAGAAAAATTCGAAGAGACCAAAGAGATTCCGTGCAGCGCGTCGAAGGTACGATTTTAACCGCTGGAACGTCGAGCACGGTTCGTGAATCGCGATCCACGGCATGCCGAGTCCGAGTCACGTGTTGTTACGTTTGGATTAATGCGGGGACGAGTGATAAGACCGCGTCGAATAATACGGTCCTCCTCCATCTGCCAGCGGGCGGCAAGATCCTTCCTCGTTTTTAATTCTTCACGAGCGACGCAACGACCGATCTCGCTAGATTGTATCGCGGCTGGCGATTCCAAGGGAGTCTTTCAAACCGAGTCACAATAGACTTTCCGAGCATCGTGTCAAAAGCGTCCAGCTGGTTTTGCTCTCGTGTCTACTTTTCCAACTCGAGCTGCCCCCATCATCCCCCTTTCTTTCGCGATTAGAAGAACAGGCATTGCCCGCGAGGGAACATTTTTAAAGGTTCGCGACGAACCGGAGCAAACAGATCGACTGGGAGACATAGAGCGTTTGCTTCGATCGTTCGACGCATTTCCATCGACGTCAATTATTCCGATTACACCCGGTCTGGTTATGCTTGTCGGAATCAATCGGTGCAACGCGATAGGAATAAGAAGAAGCCATCGAAGAGACCCCGCTTTCGCTTCTCTCGTACGCGTCGCGTCGCGTCGCAATTAATATCCTCGTCGCGACGACCTCGATCCGTCTCGATGCACCTGGCTTTCGTCTTGTCTCGCGCACTCGGACGATGACTCGAGACGACGGGACTGGAATTAATATTCGGAACCGACACCGTTCGACCCGCTCGGATTTCTCGTTGGCGTCTCTCGATTCCACAGGCCTACCGTTGCCGCCCCTTCTGTTCGTCTCTTTCGATACAATTTCCTTCGTCGGTTCCCTACGTATGCTCCGACTCGAACAGGTCACACATCGGGTCCGATGACGCGGATCCTGTCCTATTCGTGATCTTCCACGGACCCGAGGTTAACGCGCGTCCTGCGATTTCGGTGAACGGTTACACATCGATCGTTCCACGGAAGGAACGATCGTCGCGTATCAGCTGTCGCGATCTCGTCGATGCTGCCCGGAGACGAGAAAGTGGCGGCGAGAGAAGGGTGGAACCAAGAGCGAAAAAGGAGATTGAGTGAACGCGAAGTGGACGGTACGTGTCCCGTCGTCCCGTCCCGTCCGTCACGTCGCTCCCGTCAGATTATCGTTCTGACACTTTGAGAGTTATTCCGGCCGTGTGCCTCCTCACCACGATGGACTTTTGCTTCTCTCCCGAAGAGAGGAAACTGTCGGTGGTGTCCCGTTCCTCTCCTTCCTTCTGCTTATTCTCGAGCTCGTTTTCGGACGTGTCGCGACACATCCTTCTGCCTACCTATCCGGATGGCTTGTCCGACGAATCGAGGCGAGATACCAAGTCGAGAGGCTGCAACAGGGAAATGCGTGGTCGGATAAAGGCGACGAGAACCGAACTGTAGCGGAAAGAAAATAACACGAACAGAACCGAGAGAACCGCGTATCTGTGTATTTCAAGTCCGGTCGACTCGTTTGACCGGTGTCGATCAAATTTCCGAGGACGAGATTATTC